TGCATGATGCAAAGAAACTTTGTCCTGCAATCCCATGTGTTTCAGAGAATAATTGTTTGTATACAAAATAAACTCATGATGAAAGAGATAATGTCGTCAATGCTTAACAGATTGAACCACCGCATACAACTTCACATCGTAAGTACTATATTGACTATGAGGTCCCATTATCTTTTAACTGAAAAGTGCGATAGAGCAGTTTTGTTGGGTGAGTACTGCACCAATCCTCGTTTTAGAAGCATCTGAATGAAGCTCAAACGGAAGGGAAAATTTGGTAAGGTGAGAACAGGAGCCGTCATAAGTCATGTCTAGATTAACTCAAAAACATCATTAGCTACAAGTGTCCAACTGTAAGAAGGTGACTTCATACAATCAGTTATGAGAGATATAATACTACTGAAGTGAGAGACAAAGTGGTAGTTAAAGGACACAAATCCGTGGAAACTACACACCTCCGTGAATAATAGTGGGTGGCCAAGAATGAATAGCAAAAATCTTAGCAAGATCCACCTCTAAACCCTGGTTCGACACAATGTAGCCGAGAAAAATCACCAGAAATACATCAAAAGAACACTTCTTAGCCGCACCAAACAACTTCTCACGTCAAAAGCCAGAAGAACTACTCGCAGATGAACAAGAGGTTCCTCCAACAACACACCGAATATAAGAATATTGTTGAAGTAAACAACGAAACAATAACCAATGAATGGTGTAATGCCTGATTCATGACATGCATGAAAGTGTTCGGAGCATTCGATAGACTAAATAGCATAACAAGCCACTTAGAAAGACTTTTATGTGTATTAAATGCCGTCTTCCACTCATCACATAGGCGGATTAAAATCTGATGATAACCACTTTTTGAGATCGAACTTCGTGAAAATTATTGCAGAACCTGTTTAATCAAGGAGATCATCCAAACGTGGGATCGAAATATGTATCGCACTGTTATCTTATTTATTTCTCTACTGTCTACACACATGCGTCAAGTATCGTCTTTCTTAGGAATCAACAATGCCGGAACACCCCATGGAGTCAAACTCTCACGTGAATAACTTTTGGACTCATTTGTTAGTGTGGGCGACTTGGCAAGTTCACATCAGGCATGAGATCAATGCAACGTTGTATATCTCGTAGAGGAGGCAAACCATCTGATAAGTCAGAGGGGAACACATCATGAAAATCTGCTATCAAGTCCTGAAATGCCAATCGGACCTCACACATAAATGAATCACGGAAGGTAGAGTTAATAAGTACATAAACCAAAAAGGTCGAACGAAGTACTAAAGCAAATTGCGATTTGTTAAGAAACAGAACATTTGTATCCGTTATTGACGCTTGTAATGGAGTCTAAAGATCAGTACTAGTAACAATAGGCGTAGCTAAATCTTGTGACATAATCAAAGTGATGTGTTTATTCTCTAATGGAAAACACATAAGTGTTGGCAAAACCATCGTGAGATGTTCGTCTATCAAATTTCCATGGGCGACCAAGTAAAAGATAACATGCATCCATTGGAATAGAGTCACAGTATACCATATCTTTGTAACTAGAACCCACCAAAAAAAGGCAATGGCAACGCCTGGAGATGTGTAACTCTATATGGGAGTTGAGCCAAACGAGCTTGTAAGGTGGTGGATGTGGTTCAGTGAACAAGACGAGCTTTTGGACTGCTTCCTCTGAGATGACATATGTAAAACTCCTTGATACAATCATGAAACGACATAATTTACCTAGTATTGCACTTGAGGAGAGAAAGACATTGGTGCGAAGCCATGACTCTTCACGTCCTTGGGGTAACAAAAAGTATCGGCGAAGAACAAGAGCAGGACCTGCATCGCCAATGACATGTTCATCACACACTTGGGCCTCTTCCTTATCACCATAAACATCGTATCTTGGCTCCTTATAAGTATAAAGACCATTGCAAGTGGCTTTAGGGCAAGCAGATTGTCGATGACCTTGTTCTCCACATCCAAAGCACTTGAAAATTGGGAAACACAGATTTCATGACGCATTAAAAACATCAATGCTTTCTGAGTTCCATGGTTGCACCCATCTATCTGTTGTTAACTCTTTTGTTTGGCAGGATCGAAGAAAACACCACGTATACGCGTAGTGGTCGTATTCCAGCTCGCAGACGAAACCCTCAAGTTCTATTCCACCAACAAGGTGCCTTGATGAGCCTCTGAAACTGATGCAGGATTGAACTGAAGTAAGATGTTCTGAATTGAAACATGTAAACCCCCGATAAACTGCGACACCCAATTGCTCCTCTGTTTTTTCATAAACTGTTATGATCTAGCAGAGAAAAAATCTGATGCATAATCATCTACTGATTGTGCCCCTTGTCACATATTATGGAGCTTTTTGTAGATCATATGCACATAATTGAAAGGAAGAAACGTCTTTTGCATCTTCTTCTTCAGCTTCTCTCAATATATAAGACGAGCTTTTCCTTTTCGCGCATGGTTCTCCTTTGTTTGCTGCCAAGCTCGACTTTAAAATCGAGTGGCGACTAAAGGTACCCACATCACATCAGGAACCTCCTTGAACATCAAAAGTTCCTTGGTGGTATTAAGCTAATCAAGGAATTACTCAGGTTGTATATAGCCATTGTACTCATGGAGTTTGAGTTTGAGCCCTGTTTCCAGCGTCGGTTATTAGTGCGTGGTGCCACAAGTGCATCATGTTGAAATTATTCACGCATCCCCACAAAAGTGTTCTCTTAACCGTTGTCTCCATCATCATTGTAAGCCGCAAAAACCTGCTTATTATCGCGAGGTAAAACCATTGCGCAAGATGGAGCTTGAAGAGCTGTTTGAAGAGATGACTCAACGGTGGTTCGTACCATGTTATGTAAGTCATGATCAAAGTCAGTAAGGTCTCTTCGACACATCTCGTCATGATCCTCGAGTGTTTTCTGCGGAGTCTTCTTGGAATGCATGATTTTAGATAAAAAATCTTTAATACCAACTATTGTAATGGGATATTAAAAGGCCGTCAAATATCAATAAATTTTTATTGTTTTTGTAGATCTTAAGTTATTATATAGAAGAACAAAGAGATGCAAAGACTTAAATTTAGAGAAATATTCTCTCTATAAATTCAATATCTAATTATTATAACAAGCAAAAATAAAGGCCTTACAGAGGAAATGCTTACCCTAGCTATCCGAATAAAGTAAATAATGATAAATAGAAAGTTAACGTAAGTAGAAAAAACCAATATAAAAGAAAACTGACTTAAAAATCCAAACACCTAAAAACCCAAAGCACATTGTACATTGCAACCAACCTCTGCACGTTGCACATTTCACATTATCACAATATTCTACATGTTGCATGATGCACAGTACACACTATTATCCACAAAGGTTCCTACACTACGTCACATAACCAAATCACTTTTGTTTTTTGTGTAACATAACCATTTCTATGCTAACTTTACTCCAATATATCTGTAACTAAGAAAGAAAATCTATATCTTTTTAATTACTCAACTATTAGAAACCCACAATGTTTATCGTAAAACCCAGCTTTTTGTAATTTTAATTACCACAAAGCTTTTAACGTTAAATTTTAGATTTATATAATTATATTAGTTAAGTATAACTGCAAAACTAATAATAACGTGCTCTTAAATATTTTAGAAAAAATCTGATGCTCTAAACGAGTATTTTTTTTTTTTATATAGTTCTGTGCAGACGATCTTTCAATTGGATTGAGAATGACCGATATGAGTGTTTAAAAATTAAAATCAAATTATCCCGTAATAAAAAAACAAGATTTTAAAAATTCTGAAAAATTCTAAACTTATGAATAAATCTTTAAAAAAAAATGTGAATACCTCTAACCATTAGAAAACAAAATACTGTACGAAAAACTTTCAACTATTCTTAAATTAACATAAAATAAAAATCAAATCAAAATTTAAATAATATTTTTGAAAATTAAAACCAAAAAAATCAAAGAAAACAAACTAAAACTTCATGTTAGCTTCATCATCTTCATCTTCATCACCTCCCTCATCATTTTCAATACTGAGGATCATCATAAAACCTAAGAACTTGTAAAGCAAAAGCTTTTACCTTAATTCATAGGAGTGGAAAATTTTAAAATATTATAGAATGTAAATTATTATAGAATATAAATATATTATTGAGTGATTGTATTAATTATACAAAATAATAAAATATATATATAGTGATTAACATTAACATATTGCTAACATATAATATAAACTTTTTAATCTACATTTAACATATTTAAAATAAAGTATTTTCATTTAGTTTTTAAGGGTTTTATAGACTTCACTTTTATAATGGTGTGCAATATACTCATCTGATTTCTCAAATTAGTCTAAATAAAGGATAAGACGTTGTTTCCGAAGCTGCCGATATGGATCCCATTTCTCTTCTCTCTCGCTCTGTATCTCATTGTGAGGCTGAGGGAAAGTGTTCAATAAAACAAAAAAGTATTCAGGAGTTCAACTTTCAACCGCCAAAATTCTGTCTACGATTTCTCCATTCTAATTTCGGTTTACGTAATCCGGTTAGCTATTTTGGCTCGGTCAAGGAGAAGTCGTGCTTTATCGTCGATTGAAGGAAGACAATTCGAATATACTTTATCTTTTGATTATTTAGGAGCGAACGATCATTATTAAAATCTCAACCGGGCGTTACTAAACCAAAGAATTGGCTGGTTTTACTTTCAGCTTTATGTGCCTCTCATGACATGTGGGCTGCTCGATTCACCCATTCTGCCATCGGTTTACTAAAACCGGATAAATTCGTTCAAGAACTATGCTATTCATGTGGTTATTTAGGAGTGAAAGTCAACCACCCAAACAAATTGGCCGGTTTCAATATCCATATATGACCAAAAAACTCAATTGATACAACATACAAGACCCACAATACAAAAATTAAAATATATAATCAGAATAAGAGCATTATTGTAAAATCTATTCACATTCAGAAATTTATAAACCTTACAACGATAGTCTCATGAATAAGAAAAGTTTTAATGGTTTTTACCACAACAAGTTACAAACAGAGCTTTTGAGGTTGTTCATAAATGAAGTTAACACAACAAATTTATACTCCTTTGACTCAGCAATTTAAAAACCACATCTGTAAAGAGTTTTGAGTTAAGCCAGAAAGAAGAAGAAAATAATCATCACTACTCCTCTGACACAGGATCAATGGTATTTGCTGTCTTCTTTGATCGACGACGCCTTCTCATCATCCTACAAAAAAAATATGGAAACAAAAGAAGATCTGAGATTAAAAATCAGAATCAAATTGAGATTCAAAATAGGATTCAAAACCATAAGCAAATTTTAACATAAATTGAAGTACAGATCCATGCAAAGAAGTTGTTTTACTCATATTGTTAGATTGTTTAGTTGCATGTTTCGTATATATATCTATCAATCAAGCAAATTTAAACCCGAAAAAAGCCCTAATTAATTTATAATCTTATATGAGAGAGAGAGATAAAAATGATTTACTTTTTGGAATTAGCGATGAAGTCCTCTATGTCTGGTTTCTGCTCAGGGGTAAAGGCAAACCATTTTTCTTGAGGCGATACTTCACCGGAGCTTCCTAAATCTGCACACAAACAAAGGAAAGTGATAAAAGTTTATATAACTCTTCTTCAAGACAAACAAAACAAGTTTGTATGTTTTTTCATACCTTGAAGCAAAATATTAGGTTTTTCCTCTTTGTACGATTTCAACTTCCAGAGAACAAGACCATTCTCATATCGTTGAACCGGGTTGGTTCTAAGAGGATCATCATATCCTAGATTCTCTGCAAAAACAAAATTAAGGGTAAAAAGCCTCTAAACATAATGATCGTTGTTATAAAAGAACCATATGATTTTAGAAATTTGTACTCTTACTTTGAAATTCTAATGCGTTATGCAATTCACCAATTACATCTTCAGTTTCAGCCTCCATTTTCCTAAGAATCCCAAGCCTTTGATCAACCCTCAGCAGAATCCCATTGTTCTCCAATTGACCTCTAGCCAACTCATCTTTTTTCTTCTTCAGCAATTGTTCCTCCTACAACAAGAAAGGGTTTAGAATGAATCTAAGTGTTTTCAAAACTTAAATTGTAGACAGTTAAAGTAGATTTTTTCGTTACCTTATATTTCGCAGCCTTCACCATCTTTTTGGCTTCCTTTTTCCTTTCAGCATATTCAGGGTTCTCAATGCAACTCCTCATTACCCTGAAAAGATTTATCACATCATGTAACCCCTAAGGACCATAAACAATTATTAAGGGTGTATGTATATGGAACGGGTCTAAATGTATATATCTATGACCTAAACTCCTCTCTGTATCTCTATATAAATATGTAACTATTTCATTGTAATAAGATTAACACATTCAGCATTTATATGGTATCAGATTGATTAACATTCAGTATATGTATAACACTATAAACTTACGTTGTGCCAAGGGCTTCATCGCATAAAAAATTTAATAGCTTTAGCCTTTGCGAAGTATTCAACTCCTCATATGGATGTATGCTATCTTTAAACATTTCTGGAGTCAAGCCATCAAGTTTGACTACTGATTTCGCAAGACAATCACCAATAGCATTGATCCAGAACTCACGAAGGTTCATCGATCTGTATTATTTATTATAAACAAAAAAAAACTGAAATGAATCATAAAGGTCAAGAGAAACTTATATAATTTTTCAACAAAAACAATTCTTACTTGTTTCCTGTGTCTTTTACTATCACAGCCAATAATTGGATGATGATCTCGGTGAGCGTAGAGAGAAATATTTCCCTTGTGTTTTTGCCGGATAACACTTCATGTACGATACTTTCTGCTTGACCTTCCCTCAGATTAAGAACCTATTCTCAAGAATTCATATGATGCAGATAAGAGCGATCAGTTTGATAACGGCAATGATTAGGGTTAATTAGGGTGTGTTTTATTGTTTTGACTGCCATTAATTAGGGGGTTTTGGTTAATCAATTTTTTGTGTTTTTTTATGAATTAGGTTTTACAGCGTTTTTTTTTTGCATTTGGATTATCATTAAATTGTACTAAGATTAATACTACTGTATAAGGGTCTCTACGACAAATGAGAAATCAACTTCCAAAAGCTAACGTTAATCTCAAAGAGACACTGGGATTAAGAGGAAGTTTAGACTAAATGTTCTATCTATTTAGAATATTCAAATTTTCAATGTTGAAGTTGATAATATACCTTTCCAAAAGTTGAACAGAACTCCAAAAACTGTAACACACTCCCAGTATGTTCAGGGGGCAAGTCAATGCCAGAGACAACAATTGATTCGATGCCCTGAGGTAGCTTAACCTCCTCTTTCTTTTCGACAATAGCACGGTTTTTTTCAACATAGATCTCCTGGCCAAGGCTTTCTGGTGAAGCTATAGCCTGTATATACAATACAATCAAAACAAGACTCAAAGCTAAGACACACACAATAATGATCTCTCTTAGACTATACCACATACCATTTTCGCCATTGTCTTATAGACATGTTTGTCAGCATCCTCAGATTTCTCAAGATACTTAGAGACATCGTTGAACCCACTTTTTTTAGCTGTGCCTACCAATGGTCCAGTAGGGTCTAAACCGTTTTTCCTCCTTAAACAAAAAAAAAAAGAAACAATTTACAAAATTTACAAAATGAGCTTTAAAAACATATAATCACTTTGCGAGATTCAATGTAATGCATGTTTTTTATTTACCGACAGCCACTACAATTGCAAAGTCCTCTACATCTTGGACAAAGCCAATTAGTGTTCACCACTACTTCTTCTACGTCCTCTCCGTACCTGTAAACCATATAACACAATCACTAAAGCATAATAAACATTTTTTCATAACATAACAAGTAAAATTTCAAAACATCAAATCAGACCTGTTCTTCAAACACGGGGGACATAACATAAACGGACATGTACGGCTTTTCTTTTTGGTTACACAATGTCCATAGACATTTCTTATTTGACGACACTGCAACACAAAGACAATTGATTTAAACATTAACTTTATTATAAATGTTGTTTCGAATCTGTAAAACTAATTTTAAATACCATAAATACACCAAATTTGATGAACACGGTTACCAATTTTTTTTTGTCATGGTTGCGATTCAATTTTTAGTGTGATTTCAAAACTGAAACCAATTTACTGCCTCGTGAAAAATCCCCATATCACTCCATATAAAATCGATGAGTAAAGCAATAACTCTAATATCATATGTGTTTTTCATGAAATCCATAAAATCAATTGAAATACCATGAATACACTCAACTTAATCAATATTAACAATTTGTTTTTGTCATGATTAAGATTCAATTTCATTGTGATTTCAAAACCAAAACTACCATACGTCACGAGAAAATGACCAAAATTCAATTTAAAGTCTCTCATGGTGACTCCATAGAAGACCGTTGATTAAAGCAAATGTTCACACAAAATTCATAGAATCAAATTTAATAGCACAACAGATCTCTATTTATAAGTAATGGTGAATACAAACACCGATTGGATCTATTTCAAAGTCATTTGAAATCCCAATTTCAGAAAGAGCGAAAAAATGATTACAAAATGAAATTTCCCAACCTGGTGACAAGCTTTTTTCCGGGCGTAACCTTCGACCCATGCTGGAGCATCATGATTAGTTGTTTCTTCGATCTGGTTCAGACCCTCCATCGCCTCAGCACCGACATGAGGGTTACTTGTTTCTCCTGTCTCTACCATCTGGTTCAGACCCTCCATCGCCTCAGCAGCGACATGAGGGTTGCTTGTTTCTCCTATCTCTACCATCTGGTTCAGACCCTCCATCGCCTCAGCACCGACATGAGGGTTGCTTGTTTCTCCTGTCTCTACCATCTGGTTCAGACCCTCCATCGCCTCAGCACCGACATGAGGGTTGCTTATTTCTCCTGTCTCTACCATCTGGTTCAGACCCTTCATCGCCTCAGGACCGACATGAGGGTTGATTGTGTCTCCTGTCTCTACCATCTGGTTCAGACCCTCCATCGCCTCAGCGCCGACATGAGGGTTGCTTGTTTCTCCTGTCTCTACCATCTGGTTCGGACCCTCCATCGCCTCAGCGCCGACATGAGGGTTGCTTGTTTCTCCTGTCTCTACCATCTGGTTCAGACCCTCCATCACCTCAGAACCGACATGAGGGTTGCTTGTCTCTCCTGTCTCTACCATCTGGTTCGTGATTTGCGAAGCCATAACGAGAAGGTGAACGAAAAATCTCAAACAAACGGAAGATAAGGTGAACGATAATTGATCTCGAAAGTCTATTGAGGATGTGTGGTCGGCTTCAGATTTTATACAACTGAAGATAAGGGAAATCCGAAAATTGGATTTCTTTCCTTATAATTTCGCTACATGTAATTATTTGGAAAGGGTGTAATGGCGCGGGCAAGGGTTTTGACTTGAGTGTTTTTTTTTTTTTTTCTCAGGGGGTGTCTGTTTACGTTTCATTTTTTTTTTCTTTTGCTATCGTTATTGACACGTGTCTGTTGTTGATTCTGATTTTAATTCTGATGGTTGGTGACGGCGGCGTCGGAGAGACAGAGGTTCGTTTCTTTGATCCTCCGTATACTTACGTCGTTTTTTCCGCATAGGATCAAATGGTACTGTACATCTGCAATCTCTTTAAGACTATAGTGCCTATTTATTGAAAATTAACCGTTCGATCTGAGATATATACATTTGAATTATCCTGATGATCATTGAATCCCGAATTCTTTGAAGATGCTGTTTGTATCAGTGCTATGTTTTCTCATTGGGTGAAATTGAGTGTTTGGCCTCTGATTTTTTCTTTTTTCAGATTCTGTGGAAAAGCTGTCTAACATATGCTATTCATAGCAAATAATAGTTTTGTTTTTTTGGTTGTCAAGCATTTGTTTGTTGTATAGTATAATCTTCGTTGAACAAAAAAATAGCATTATCTTCAATATTATATATGTTTTACATATTATTTGGGAATTTCTGTATCGGGAACTTATGTCTTCTATATTTTCTTGTAATGGATGGAAGTGCTGGGTTTGATGGAATCTAATAATCTTCTCCAACTATTGTTCAGCTTGTTTCATTGCTGCCACAGTATCTCGAAGCTTTCTGATATCTGGATCAACCGTTTTAGTTATGTAAAAGTTCAACTCAGATTCCGATCTAAACTCAATGATCAAAATTCTGGAACATGCAATTATATGATGCGAGGGTAACATGATCCAGTGCACGCATTTAACGACTTTTTAATTACTTAAATTCTTGTTCGTTTGATTTTTATTATTAGGTATTTACCATTTCAGATATCCTGATGTAAAGAATGATCCAAAAGTTGGAATCATAGAATATAACAATGGCATATCATCCACGCTAATTTAAAGATTTTTCAAACTTTAAAAAAGATATGCGTGGGATTTAATTGTTTAGTATTTACCATTTCGAATATTTTGACAGTAAAAATGATCCAAAAGTTGAAATATGGAAACATAACGTTATATGATGATGCAGTTGTATCCAATGCGCTCAATTTAACGATTTTTTTAATCATTTAAACTTTCATTAGTTTTGTTTTGTTTTTATTTTTTAATATATACGTGTAATTTTACTGTCTGAAAAAAAAACTTGTAATTCTACTATTAAACATTTATTAATTTTAATAGTAAAAATGATCAAAAAATCAGAATCAAAAAACATAAGGCTATATATAATGCAAGTGTATCTCATGATTCATTGTTCGCCAACTTAATGGTTCTTCTATAATTTTAAATATCAGCTGGTTTTGGGTTTTTCAAAAGTTTAAATAATTTATTATTTCGTATTTACCATTCATATATAAAACCAAAAATAACAATTTCATCAGAAATCGAGAATATGTAATTATCTGATGCAATCGTATCTTATGATTTGGTAGTGCAAACATAACAGCTTTTCTATTAATTTCTTGTTTGTTTTAAAATTTTGTAATTCAACTACTATAATTTTACTATTAATTACCATTTCAGATATCTAAATATGAAATAATAATCTAAAGGTTGGGATTTGAAATCATGTAATTATCAGACACTGTATTTTATAATTTAAATCACGGCAACTTAACTGATTTTCTATCATTTTTTTTTTAGTTTTATGGCTTTTAAGAAGTTTAAGTATAATTTTAAATATTCATAATTAAGTACTATCCATTTACATCCATAAGATAATTTAAATATCCAAGTAACTTGATTTGAATTGAAAACGTAGTCAAAGCTGTTTGCAGCTCCTTTATCAAAAAACATTAGTACTTTAAAAAGATACCACAAAACAGTCAAAAACACCAAAACTTTATCACTAGTTAAAATCAAATATAGTACAAATTAATTAAAAATATTTCACTACTTTAATAGAGAACAAAGTCAGTATAATTTATACATTTCCTTAAAATTAAGTAACTCGACTTAAGTTGAATGTTGACTATGTCAAGTTAAGTACTTAAGTTACTTAATTTTAAGTTGTTTTCATGTTTACAAGGAAACTTTGAGGAATAATTTGGTAAATACAATGGAAGAATAATTCTATTTTGTATGGTCAAACAAATTAATTTTTTGGGGGTTTGGCAACGATTTAATTCATTTGACATTAAAAACTTAAAAATTAACTTAACTTAATTTGGTGATTTAGTCAACTATTTTTTAAACAATCATTTAGGGGGTGTTATTCAATCATGGATTTAAACTAAACTAGGTGATGACCTGCATATACACGCGGGTTTATATTTTTTAGTTTGTGATTAATATATTATTTTATTTAAATATAATACTAATATAATATGATTTATGTAAATATATAAACAATGTTTACATTAATATGGACATTCATTCATTTAAAATTTTAAATACTTTTTTTTTTACTTTTTTATAATTTTGTTATCATACTTAAATTTTCTTCTAATTTTTTTGTGATAAACTTATAAAAACGTTAAATTTTTTATCCAGCAAGAGATGTGGCTGCAGATTAGTTGGGTTTATGTTCAAGCTGTTTCATTGTCCATTGTGGTTGTCTTTCATATAGTCCTACCATTTTTGCTTCCACCTCAATACGATACTTCTAGCCTTTCTTACATCTCTTAAGCTTCTTGGTTAACTGTTTTATGGAGAAAGAATTGTTAGAGTGATATATTAAATGGTCCAGTAACACAATCAACTTTTTAAAAAGAAGATGATGACACTCTTTCGTCTCTTTTTTTGCTTTTCTCTCTTCTTCCTCTCTCCGTTTGTATCTATCTCAAGCTACACCCGTCCGCCGCCTTGTCCAGACTTCATCATCTCTAAAGGCCGTCCAAAATCCTTTCCGTAACAGGTTCATTGGTTTAGATCTCTTTCTTAACGTCTCTCGAATGTGTCTTAAGTCCTATAAAATTCTCACCTTCGAGCCTTTTTCATATGGAGTGTGAGATGTATACACCATAAGACAATGTATCGTTGTAACAAGGTTAATAACTTTTTAAATTATCACATAGTCACTTCATGTTCTCTACCATTTCATTTTACATTCTATTCTATCACGTCTTTTTTAGTTTGAATTGGTTAATGTTGAATATATATGAATTGTTTATACACATATATAGGTGCACCGTGCACGTATCATTGGCGGGTAAGGATCACATGAGAGTAACATACACAACGGATGACAATGACGTGGAATCGATGGTGGAGTACGGTAAACGCCCAAATAGGTACGACAGAAAAACAGCCGGAGGCCACTTCTTACAGATACTTCTTCTACAGCTCCGGCAAGATCCACCATGTCAAGATTGTTCCTCTTAAACCAAACACTTTTTACTATTACTGCTGCGGAGGCCACGGTGGGGAATTTGCTTTTGAAGCTGTTATGGAACTTGAATCATCAGGTAAGTTTTGCTGCAGCTGATCATCATTTCGGGCATGATCTACATCTGCACAAACATCAACAACATGTCTCTTACTTTGCTAAACCAAAAACTGAGCTACAACAACTCTAGGATCTAAGTAACTGCTAGAACTCCTTAGCAAAGTGGTTTATTATCACAAATAATGATTATAATCAAATAATATCAAGATAGTCTTTAAACATAGATGTTAGTTTGACACAGAAATAGTGTATATCCACAATAATACCATAAAACACAGAGATAGTCTAAACGGTGATTATTACCTGGAACAGAAGGCTGCTGACCCAACTATTGAGACATGGCATTTGATTGCTGCTTTAAGGGGCTAGAACTCATGACATTAAAATCTGGTGCCTGAATTTCTAAGTTACCATGAGGAGAGATGGCTGAGCTCTGAACAAACAGATTAGAAAAGATAATCTCGTACTATGATGGAACTTTTTGAATGCCATTATTTATGATTATTCCATAAAACTCAAAACAAACATGCCCATGACCTGGTTACTACACAGCATACAATAAAAGAAAAAAAAAAATACACTACCTGCTGTAAAAGAGGATTGTACTGTTGTGAAGAATGCTGCTTTTCGTTTCCTCCAGATAGAGAAGGTATGCCTAAGAGGTTACTGTGGCCTTGTTGTACTTGCTGTAACCGCTTTATAGATTTCTCTCTTTGATCTGGTGCTATTTCAGTTCTACCACGGACCTAAAAGCCAAAAGCATGTACGTGTTTCACAAGACAGTAGAACCTGACAAACCAAGGGACACATAACCTTAACCAAGCATATGGTATATATATGGCTACGAATACATCTCAAAAGAGAGCCTAATTTGGATTATGTTAGAGTGTAAATCCAATTCTACAAACTTACACATTAAATGATCCTGAAGCTTTTTCTGATAGGAGAATAGCTAACACAAGTAAAGCCATGACATTGCTCAGACAGACTACCAACTTAAATATAATGCAGATGTCCCACCGATCCTTGGGACTATAATTTGAATTCAAAACATGCACCGTTTCATAGACAATTCCAAGAATCATGGAACTTAGACAATTAATTCTTTTCGTTTTGAATCTATGCTCATTCGAATATTCTTTATTCGTTTCATCGCTCTTATTATCGGATCCGAGATCAGAAGGTCAAATACTGTAAACTAAACAGATCAATCGCAAAAGAGAAGAATAAAATTTCAAATCCTCCGCTTAATGAAACTCACCAGTAATGAGGGTTGAATGAAGCTGCTGCAACGTGGTCGCTTGCTTCAAAAATCATTCATCTCCGCCTTGATCACGCGGTCCTCCGCATTCTCGCTTCCCTGGACGATCACGTCGTGAACACGCACATGACCCGGATCCGCTGCCATAGCGTTATACTCTTCCTTTTCATCTCTTTTACCGTTAATGTCTTCGGGTTCTTTCATTTATAACATTTAGCTGGGCATTCCCGACTGTAGATAAAATTAAGAGCACAAAGTAGGATAGGAGGCCATCCATT